TTATTGTCCTTGATGCTCAAAGCTAGTTGGAGTTCAGTTGCAGCCTTGGCTTTCCTGGTTTGCTCCCTGCAGGACTGGACCAGTGCAGAATAATCCTTGTTGGAGGTGAATCCCATCCTCCATCCTTTGTAGGCCTTTCTTTTTAGCCTCAGAAGGTCTGCTAGGTCCCTGGAGAGCCAGGGGGGCTGCTGTGCCCTCTTGCTGCCTTCCTCCGAGGTGGAATAGAATTAGCTTGTGCACTGAAGATCACTCCCTTGAGGAGCAACCGCTCTTCTTGAGCTCTCCTCCCCCTGGGGTCGTGGTTCCTTAGGGCCTCACTGACAAGCCTTCTGAGCTTGTCAAAGTCAGCTTTCCTGAAGTCAAGGACTTCCGTGTTGCTGACTGACTTGCCAGCTTTATGATGGATGGTGAAGGTGATCAGCTTGTGGTCAATGTCACCCAGCTTCCCATCAATCACTAGGTCACCGATTAGGTCACCCCCAGTAGCCAGTACCAGGTTGAGCAGCGCTTTGCCTCTTGTTGGCTCATAGACTTCTTGAGTCAGGTAGAGGTCATCTTGGATATTTAAGTTATCTATTTAGGTACAGATCACTAGATTGCTCTCCTCTTTTTAAATTATCAGTATGCATCAGTCATGCTAAAAGCATGCCTGTTAAATAGTCCTCCTGCAGGGGATGTAAGTCTAGGGATACCTAGCTTGTGAATCTCAACTCAGTTCAGCCCAGCCAAGGTGGTGTCAGTTCTGAGCCTGTGCAGGACCAGTATTGTCTATGTCTAGGGAGTTTTATTGGGGAATTTAAGGTGCTGAAGCCATTAGTAGGGGGATCTTGTAGACTGCACTGTTGTTAGACTTAAGCATTTCATTCTCCAGTCCTGATTCAGTGCCTTTGTAGATCTTGGCCTTCATCTCTCAGGAAACATAATTATATATACGCACTCTGCCTAGCATAAATTATAGTCTATGGGGAAGAGATGCATGAGAGAAATCCTGTTAATATCGGGAAACCCTTTTCCATTGGATAAGGAGATGAATTGCGTTTTATGACTCTGGAAACTCTTTAGGAAAGATAAGATTCATCTGTGGGGAGTACTGGGCAGTGCAGTTTCAGCAGTGTTAAACATGGGTGACTGGTAGGGGGTGCACGGGCCCCCCCCCGACAGCCAACACTGATGCTGTTGGTAGGGCTGGTTACCCTCCTGCCAGGGTTGGCGGCTTCTGCGGGTGCCCTGCCAGATCAGGAGGCACCAGTCACTCATGGAGCTAAACTTGCAATGTTTTTGTAGAAACGGTTAGCCTCCCCATGTCTTAAGGGATCTCCATAGGTCAAGTTTGGGATTTGCCTTGTGTCCTACTTTAAAAGGAAAAAGATCTTGTCCAAGAGGATTGTGGGGAAGGTCTCCACAAAGAGGTCCTCACACAGATTCTCTTCATTGGAATCCCTGCCAAGAAGATTTGTTACAAGAGGAAATAATCTAGCTGTCTTGATGGTCAAACTTTTTATTTCCTGCAGAAAAATATGCTTACATTAAAGAGACACAGTTACATTTAAAGTTACATATATAGTTTCCATCCGTTCACTACGTTTAAAAAAAGTGAACTTTTTGCTAATTTTTTGTCCTTTTATTTGTCAATCTAGGTAATGAAAATGGGTCAAGGAATTGCCATTATTTAGCTGAAAAAATATTTTTGTAAGGTGATTCAATTAGACTAGTTATTTCTTTGTAAGAGAGGTTCATGTTCAAAAGGGTGCCTGTGAGGTGATACCACAAAGCAGCGGTGAAAGCAAGTTATAATGAAAACATGCATGTAATTTTCTTTTCTTTTCAGCTCTAATTAAATACTGCCGGCCGGTATTTGTGTCTCGGTCAGACCAGGATTCTCGCAGGAAAACAGTTGAAGAGATAAAGAGACGTGCTCAGTCAGGCAAATGGCCCCAGGTACCTTGTGGTTTTTCTGTGACAGAATATATTTGGTATTTATTGATAGCAGTTTAGCGTGTCCTGTTTCCAACTCTTCCCTATCACCCTAATCCTCTTATGCTTTTCTCCCTGAGATACAGAACTTAAAATCCTTACTTGCATGATGAATTTCTAGCCTCATCTTTAGTTCTGTTGTGATGTGTTTAGCATTTGGAGATCATTTCCACTGGAGTGATGCTGTTAAAATTTAAATATTGTTAAGAATGATTGAGGTGTTTGACACTTGATATATCAAGTGTTATAATGCAGTACGCTAGGGCTATCCAGTTGGCTGCCCACGGACTGCATGCAACTCATGAGCTCTTAGCTTATGGGCTGTGGGGCTCCCTCCTAGGTGCTGCTCTCCCATTGTTCCTTGTAGCCAGGATCTCCGGGCTCCTGCTCCCTCTCCTTCCTCAGGGAGGCCCATGCAGTTTGCTTTGGGGAGAGAAATGGAAAAGGAGGGATACTTCAGGCTCTGTGCTGCATGCCTAAACTTCCTGAAAGCGTGTACATTAGATTGTAATTTGGAAACCTATTAGAGCCTCTTCTTGTGATATGGATGAGACTACTACGTAATTATGTGGTCATTGACCCATTTAGAGTAATGGAGTGGAACAGTGTCTTGTCCTTACCTAGGGACTTTTATCAAAGGAACTTGCAGTGCTGCAGAGGGAAGTATGTATTACCGATGCTTTAAAGAAGAGGAAGCTGAGTAAAGAGCAGAGTAACATGTTCAGAGTTACTTAGAAAGCCAGGAGCAGTGCTGGAAGTAGAACCCAGCTCTCCTGAGTCCTAGTCTCGTAGTCTGTTCACTGGCAGTACGCATTCACTTCCCTTGAATTCAGCAATTTGGAATTGGTGATATGAGCTGTCAGTATCTTTCCTATTTCTCTTTTTCTGAGTGGAGTCTACTCAGAATTTAACCTTCTCTTCCTTCTGCTGATAATTCAGTTAAGTCTTAAGAATCTTTTTTTTTTCTTGTTAAAATATTCATTTAGGTGTTCTAGGGTCTCTGCAATGGTGGTATCTAAATAACTACCAGGTAGCTAGTATGCGGGGGCGAGACTATTTTTTCTCTTTCCAATCTGAGAGAGGGATCTTGATTAGTTTGTGGCAGTTTTCTTATTTTTTTGTGAAACTAGGTCTTTAGGCGCATGTGTTTTGAAGAAACTGAAAGAGAACTGAATTAATTTTTTTTTAACATTTTGGATTTGAATCTAGTTTTACAACCCATAAGAAGGGTTGTAGAACAGAGTTCTCTGGTGTTCAGTTTGCATATGAAAATAAACAACTTCACTTGGATTGAAAAAGAATCTTAACTCAATCCCCCCCCTGAAATTATTATAGTTAATTATATGAAGAATTTTTTAATTTTGTCTTTAAAGATGTAAATATTTATAAATAAATCCACATGGAATAGTTATATTTCATAAAAGTGAACTTTGTTTTTACTCCAAGATAATAATATTTCCTGAAGGCACTTGCACAAACAGATCCTGTTTAATTACCTTCAAGCCTGGTAGGTATTTTTAATTTTCCTTTTATAGCATGCTCTCATTGCTTTAGCATTTTAAATGTATTGTTTGCATTGTAATTGGCTTGCTACTGAAAAGTGTGAATGAAAAAGCCTTGTGAAGGGCTGGGATTGAAGTGGAATTTTTTTAATGCTATAGATCACTATGGCATAGTTTTACCACATTTTAATTTCCTGTGTCTGAAAGCGGAGTTGATGCAGAGAGAGAAAGCATTGCTTGCAATACCTTATTTGTTCAGTTTTGGTGCCCAGGGACCAAAGAAAGTTGAGAATCACTGCCCTAGCTGGACTACATTTTTACAATTACGCACTTTGAATCCAATTCAAATAGTATTTTTCCTTTGTTTCTGAGCTGTGAACAGTTTCTCTTGCTGAATTTTTGTATCCTTTGTGATAGAGCAGTCTGAAATACCAAAAGCATAAGTATTCAGTGTGAGGGTGCTGCAACATCTACTGCTAAATAATATGTAGCTGACTATCACTTTCCAACTAGATGCACCTACACACAACTGTTGAGAGGTACTCTGGCCAGGTCTGCCCCAGAAACTTCTTCCAGTATAGCAATACTAGTTAAGAGGATGATCCTCTGTTTTCTGACCTTTCTTTGGCAAAACGCCATACTTCAACAGTTGAAACTGTTGGAACAGCAGCATGAAAGTGCTTTTCCCAGGATAAATTTTTGTTTGTGAAACCATTAGGAATTAATAACCAAGAGGTGTTTTGCAGACACAAACTGCATCAGTCTAGAAGGGCTTGTTAGTGCATCAGATCTTTTTGACTTGTTACCCTAGCCATGATGTGTCAGCAGCTAGGTGAATGGACAGCAGCAAGAAGACCAGTTCTGGGAGCAGTGCTCTTTGGCTCCCTTGACTGTGTCCAGACAAGTGCAGACTTGCAGTATATGGTGCCACAGGCCCATCTGCGGTGCCACTCGGTGCACATGCCAGTGTTTCCCATGCTGCTACCTTGCGATGGGGTGGGGGGAGGGTTGTTTTTGACCCCAGGAGATCCTGGGGTCCAAGAAACCCAGGCCAGAAAAAAGCAGGGCGGCACACATGGCAGCAGCATGCGCCACCCAAAAAAAAAAAAGAAATCAATAATCCTGATGTCAAATTTGAGGGAGTGGGATGTGATAAAAATGTTTCTTTTGTACTTGATTATTTGCATTTAAGTTGACAGTGAAGGATTTAGCATTTTTTTTACAATCTGTTAATTGTTTATATTTCCTTTATAAGTGACCACAGTGTATATACTTTTGGACATATATTGTCTTTTTAAAATAACTTTTTCAAAGGGATTATTATTAGCTACTTACTTTTGCTTTTTTTCCTTTGTCATGAGGTGAATTCTAACTGTTCTTCATGAAAGACTGAAAAAAATAACCATTTTTCACAGAGTCTTTTGGAAGTGAACAGTTTACTGTAGTAAAGAAATTTTATGCAAAAAAGTAATGATATGCATATGCCTTCCAGGTGCATTTATCCCTGGAGTTCCTGTACAGCCAGTAGTTTTACGGTATCCTAACAAACTGGTAAGTTCAGTTGCTTTCTCAATTTTTTTTAATTTTGGCTATGGGGTTTGCTGCTTTGCCATCAAATTGTTTAACTTAGAGTGCACACTTGCCATTGGTGTGTTTGTTGGCTTTTTGTAGACAAAAGCCCAGCAGGAAACAGGTGTAGGTTAATTGCTGATTTTTATCAACTTGCTTTACTTTTTGCTCTTGCTCTTTTCCTCTCCTGAAAGAATTCCCTCTATCCACTTAAAGTATTAGGAAAAATCTTCTAAGGCAATCTCCAGTTTGTAAAATCGAGGTTTTTAGGTGGGGGGGTAGAGAGGAGGGGATTTCATTTAGTCAGTGTGGTGAGGAGAGAATACTTTAATTCCTCAACGGTTTTTGGTAGATAGAGCCAAGAGCAATTTTTTTTAAAAGTATCCAGGTCAGTTGCAATTACACCCTAGGACTTGTAACAGCATGTTTATTTGACATCTTTTGAGATGAATGCTGTATAAAGTCTTCAGCCTGATGTCTTGAACAGTAGATTTCTTTATGCAGCCTGTCTGAAGATTGTAAATCTCTTTGAAATGCACAAAAAATCTTGGAGCAGCTCTAATTATCACTTCATTAGGAGTGAAGGAGTGTCACTCCTCCCTCATCCCTGGAGCATGTGTAAATGTGTCTGAAGGTAAAATTAAAGTCAAATTAACCACCATGGATTAGATTAGGGGTGTGCATGGGACACATCTGCAGGCTGGATTAGGTGCCAGGGCCCTGTGCCACCCTTGGCCACTGGGATCAGGGCCCTGCCTGGTCCTGTGTGTGGAGACTAGGCTCTGTAGGCCCTGCACCACCTCTGCCTAGTCCCATGTGCTAGGTTGGGTGTGGAAGGCAGCCATGGCCCACAGGGCTCCCCACAGGCCTGTGGAGAGTCCCACAGGCTGGATGGCATGCCATGGGGGGCAGCATCTGGCCCATGACCCACACATTGAGTGCTTCTGCTTTAAGCTACAAAAACATACTGGGGATTGCTTCTGCCCCCACAAATTTCAAACAAGATCTAAGAGTGTGAGCCAACAGTATGCCCTTGTTGTAAAGAAGGCTAACAGTATACTGGGCTGCATTAAGAGTGTTGCCAGCGGATCAAGGGAAGTAATTATTCTCCTCTATTTGGCGCTGGTGAGGCCACATCTGGAGTACTGTGTCCAGTTTTGGGCCTCCCGTTGCAGAAAGGATATGGAAAAATTGGAGAGAGTCCAGTGGAGGGCAACAAAAATGGTTAGGGGGCTGAGCACGTTACTTGCAAGGCGAGGCTGGGGAAACTGGGCTTATCTAGTCTGGAGAAGAGAAGACTGAGAGGGGATGTAATAGCAGCCTTCAACTACCTGAAGCGTGGTTCCCAAGACAAAGGAACTAGACTGTCCTCAGTGGTGGCAGATGACAAAAAAAAGACAAATGGTTTCAAGTTGCCACAAAGGAAATTTAGGTTGGATATTAGGAAGAACTTTCTCAGTAGAAGAGTAGTAAAGCATTGGGGCAGGTTACCCAGAGAGGTTGTAGAGTCTTCATCCTTAGAGGTTTTTAGGACCTGGGTAGACAAAGCTTTGGCTGGGATGATCTAATTGTTGATTGTCCTGTTTGAGCATGGGGTTGGACTAGATGACCTCCTGAGGTCTCTTCCAACCCTAATTTTCTATGATTCTGTGGTGATTTTTGTGACCTAAAATTAAGTAAAAAAGACTGGTGTGGGGTAGGAAAAAACTTTTTCCCCTGCCCATTACAAATTCCATAACTGCAACAGGACCTTTTTAAGTCTAGAAATGTTGAGAATGTAGATGAATGATGCATTGTCTTAATCCTTTCTGCTGGGTAAGCAAGCATTCTTTCATATATGGATGTGACATCACATCTGTGTGGCTATGTGTGTGCAAGTACTTCCCTGTATGTCCTCAAAAATATTCAGTTCCGTCAGTTAGGTTGTTAGCATTTACTCCTCCCCTAGATTCACCATCTTGGTAAACCATATAATCTCTAAGCCTTTTCTGCAAATAAGCTTCAGAAACAAAAAAGAGCGGAGAAGGAAAGAAATTTCTATTACAGATTAATGTTAGGTTAGATTGGGAAGGTAGGGTGAAACTAGAGAAGAGATGCAGAGTAGGTGGGGAAGGATAGGGTAGGTGGGGAAGGGTTTGGAGCTTGTGTGTTGTGTTGGCTAGGCTGGCACGTATTCGTGGAGCTGTGAGGAGTTAGACCTTGGATAGTTAGGCAGGAGCAGGAAACGTGAAGGTTTATTGCTTTGGCCTCAAGTGTTTTCAGCTTCATTCTTGATGGATTTACTTTTCCATAGTCCTTGGTTCCAGCCCTGTCTAGGCCTCCTGAGATCTCCCTGTGGGGGCAGCAACTCCTCCATAATTATACTTTCAGGAATAGATGTTCTAATTAAGGCATAAGAAATTTGTATTTAAGAACAAAGCCCTATTCTAACATTTTATAGAGCAGTGCAAGTCTGCCGTGGGCTTCAGCTAATCAGCCTCTTTTGCCTCCTGTAGTCCAGAACCCTGACTTCCAAACTGGATGGTGGAATGACCTTTGGGTTCCATAAGCATTACCCCCCTGCCACCTCCTTCCATACTGCCCCTTCCTCCCACCACCAGGGAGGGTGGGCAGCTCTTATGGAACCCAGAGCTCTGGATAAGTATGTTATAAATCTCTAGTCCTGTACCTAGTTCTTGAATTGGTGCTTTGCAGTAGACTGAAACAGTCAGAAATGGCACAGTAAGTCTGATTCTGATTGCTTTGGAGAGTTCCTTAATTGTTGCTGACTTGTCTGGAAGTCCTTTTCTTAAGGCTTCTAATACCAGCTGTGTGTCTCTCTCGTGGGTCCAATTTCTTCAGGAACAGGGGGATTACATTTTGATGCAGTTGTTTTTGGGCATGAAGTGGAGAGAATTCTAGCTGTATGAATGGGCATTGTGCCATTCTACTCATTAACTCTTGCTTTTTGTGGCTCAGACTCAGGAGTCCACTTTATTTCTTTGCTGTAGGTTAAGTATCCCTCAGGTCTTTGGATTCTGGACAGTTAGTATCCATATTCCAAGTAAGGGGCTATCATGTTACCTCCCTGGGCTTGCACCAATAGCAATATATTAAGTTCTCTTCATACATTCCTTTGCCACGTTTTACAGTTTTGCTTTGCCTATATTATTCTGCCAGAGATTGGTAGTTGTATTTAAGGTAGGCTTAATTCCTGTCAAAACCTGCGTGCGTGCATGCGTGTGTGCGCGCGCGCGTGTGCGTTCAGGTCCAAAACTCCTTTGTAGGCAATCAAGGCCATTGTATTCTAAGATTGTGGCTGTTCTTGTGCAGTTTTTTCCCCCCACTTTATTTTCATTCGCTTGTTTATTCTGCTACAAGTTAACCTATTTCATGGCTATTGAAGCCTCCTTGGGCACATCCATACAAGTAAGCACATGCCTGTTGCAGCGTCTCAAAGCAGTTTGAGACGCTGCAAGAGGCACTCTGGGAACCAAAAAATGTTCCCCGTGCTGCATGTTTGCACAGCACGGACACTGATTTTGATACCTGGAAATCCTGGTATCAAATTAAAAACTGCTGAAAAAAAGTGGTGAGGTTGAGTCCTCCAGAGACAGTTTGACACCCAGCCAGAGCCTCTCTGTGTTGAGGCCCTGTTGCCCCAGGAGGTTGCCTAGATGGCAGAGCGGGGGCACCAGAAGACATGATAGCAGTGCCAGCTGAAGGCCAACTGTGCAGCCACGGGCTACTGGCCCAGAGGTGCAGGAGGCTTTGCTGCAGTCCCCATACCACAGCCCAGGTGGCTGTGCAGTCCCTGTCCAGGTCTGGCAGGTGTGCAGCCATGGGGCCGCAGGTCCAAAAGAGCTGATGCTGTCGCAGGTGGCAGCAGATGACAGCCAGGCAGCAGCTCCCACTTCCAGACTGGTGCAGCGGGTAGAGGGTACAGGGGCCCCTCTCTTCAGGTTAGGGCTGCGTCAGTAGTCCAGCTGGCACAAAGGGGCTAGTGTCCCCGGATACCGACTGGCTGGGCCTCAAGCTCGTGAGGTCATGTAGTCTTGAGCTGCTTGCCAGGGCAGCTTTTTATACTGTTAGGGCCAGCAGCATCCCCTGGCTGAAGATCCAGGCAGAGCTGGGCAGGTTCAGCATGCCTCAAGTGGTACAATTCGCCCCAAAGTGCATGTTTAGGCATGTGCTGAGGCATAAATCTCCAGCACAGATGTGTGCTGCTATTTGAGCTGCTGCAAGCACATGTGCCTGCATGTGTGAATGCACATCTCATGTTCAACTTACACTTGCAATTTGCTTGTTGTGCTGCTTTGCAGATTTCCATAATTTTCTAAAGGCAGATCTCGGACTCTCCATAATAATTCAAATACATACCCCATCTCCACAGCTCAGTGCTAATCTTAAAGGCCCAGATTGCAATACTGACTATATTTAAAAAAAAAAAAAATTCAGAGCTTTTAGTCTTAGTACTTCCTTAAGTCTCCTCTATTGTTTGGAAAAGAAACCTTTCAAAGGTTTCACTTTTTTAGGTACAGAATCTTCAAATTGTGCTTTGCCTCTAACAAAATAACTGCTGTCCCTGAGCAAGAGTTGGAAGCTTTTTATAAATACATACAGTGCTCATATCAGCTACAGATAAAATATTGCTTTTCTGGCACAACTGTCTGTTTTATCTTAGTTTGCATACAGTAGTGAGAGTCTGGATAAGCTTCAGTCAACCACTCTGTTTTGATCCCCGCAGTCCATCTTCTAAAATAAAGGGTGACTGTCTTTGGCTCTACAGCCTCACTTCCACTTTCTTGTATAATGAAGTAAAATTTTGAAGTTAACTTCCAAATCTTAAAGTTCTCTCTCTCTGACAGTTTCTGGAAAACTGAAGCTTGCTTCCTTCCAAACCTGTCTAATCCCCTCATTTTCCAGTAATGCCTCCTGGTCTATTAGGCTTCTAATCTACAATTGATCTTAAACTCTTTCCTCTTTCTTATGTTACAAATGCATGTCTTTACCAAATCAGGCAGCTTATTTCTTCATACCACTTCCTTTTTCTGTTCCAATGGCTCAATTTTTTGTACAGACCCTTATCTTTGTTTTGGACTGCTATTCCTTGCTTGGCTCCTGATGACCTCCCTCAAATCTACTCAAAAGCACAAGCACTCTAAACTTTCTTGTTTGAGCTGAAACACTTATCAGCACATCACTCCCCTCCTTTCTCCTTTGCATCAAGTTCAAGTTTCCAGCCTTTCCTTCCAGGTCATCCCAGTCCTATCTTATTTAACTGCTTATATCTCCCTCCCTCTGCAACACACATGATGCCCACTTCTGTCCACTCCTTCCATCACCATGTCTTTGCTACCTTGCTCCCAGGTTGCTCACTACTCATGCAGTGCCTTTTTGAGGCTTGGATTGTCTTTTGTGTTTTTAACTGTATGCTCTCCTGTTTTAAAATTCTTTTTCAAGGTGCACTTCTACTGCAAAACCAAAAAGAATGTAGCCAACCCATAAAGGCCTTGGCGCAGTAGTAGTAGTAAAAATACTTTCCAGTTTTGCTGCTTAGAAATAAAGGTATTTTGATGATAAACTGTACGCCACTCATTACATTGATCTTTTTTAATGTCATATCTTTTTCTAGCATTTGCTTTGCTCTTTTTGTTTTTTCAGATTTCAAGTTCTTCATAACACAGACTCCATTTTCCAACCTCCAGACTTAGAGTTCCCAGGCCTCTGGAAGTTGGAAGCTGTAGAGGGAGGGGGGGACAAGGGACAAATCAGTCTGGATAGGCCCTGCTTAAATGCTCATCCCATTAGGATCTGCACTGCATTGCTGTGAGAGAAATTTGGTTCATGGTAGCATGGACCTGTGGTCTGACCTGGTGGGTCATCTCTTGCATTCTTTCTTTCATATGCTTCTGTTTATACCCTTACTGGCAGTTACCTATTTAAAAAAAAAAATCTAATGGGACAAAAGAAGCATCTGAATTGCAGTTAATTTTTTCTAAATGTATATATTTTTAAGTGGGCATCTTTTGAAGGATCCAAAGAGTCTTCAGATGTGCTATGAACATAATTTTTGTGTATGTAAACACTGAATTACACCTGAACTGTGTTTCTTAACTTTATAAAAGGCAAGCTTATTCCTGTTTAGCATTCAGTTTATTCCTAATGGAAGTAGCTTTTTTTTAAATGGTTCATTGCTATCTTCATGAGGACTTAGAGAAAATAATTGCATTTGTTTTGCACTTCTTAGGATACAATCACATGGACATGGCAAGGACCAGGAGCGTAAGTCAATCATGTCTTCTTTCTTGTGCTGTGATTGCTTTTGTAAATTAGCTTGGTGTTACAAGTGTACTGTCAGATGGGCATTATTGGTTATTAGGATATTCCATAAAATGAATGAGTCTTTCCTGTTGATTGCCACATCATTAAAAAAAACAAAAACAAAAAACCCTCATCTGGAAAAATCTAGAAATAAACTAGTATTGTTTTCTGCCACTTATTTCTGTCCAGTGGCGATGCGAGCTTAGATGGCATTTGTCCCACTGGCTTGATTATTTTATGGACTGTTTTTGTTTTCCTGTTTCGTTTTTATTTCAATATTGTTATATGATCCACCTGCATGTGATGAGACAGATTGCTTTTGCTCCCACAACATACAACTTTCATATCTCCACATTTCTTAGCATCATCATTTGAATGTTTTGGCCATCTTTAGGAAATGCAAAAGATTCAAATGCTGCTGCCAATTTGGCAGTAGCTGTGATGGGATTAAAGCCTGAACTTTGGGGCTGGAAGGAGAGGGTTAGTAATGCTGAGAACTGGTCTCTGCCTCTCCTTCATGGGCCCAAAAAGACAGCAGAGTCTTGGCAGCCGTTACAGCATCCCCATGCCTCCATCCCAGTGTGGAATGCTCGTAGAAATGCTGGAATCAATTTCCTTGCATAAAACTCGCACCCATATTTTGGATGGCTAAGAAAAGAGTAACACTTCAGCTGCTGGGCCTGTTGTGCCCTTAAGTTAGAGATCTTTGAAGTTGCCATTGGCTGCATGCAATGTTGAGATCTCCAGCCAGGAGCCACAACAAGATGCTGTGGTGAACTGTGGCTCTGCTTCTCCCTCTGCCCCCTCCTGAGGGGGAGTGGAGCAGTCAGTGCTATTCTGCAGCTCATCACTGCCAAGGCTGCAACCCTTTTTTTTTTTTTATGGAAGGGTGGGGGGTGGTGAAGCAGAGCTGGTTCTTGTGAGTGTTCTCCTATGACTTTGGCCTACACTGTACTGAAGCAAAGAGGTGCACAGAGTTTGGGGGCTGGAGAACTGGGATCCTGGTGGCAGCAGTGCAGGGATATTGCAGCAGTGGTCAGACCCTGAGAACGCCTTTAGTGCTAGGGGCTTTGACACCCTGATTGTTCCTGGCACTCTTAGGAGGAAGAGAGAAGGCAGCAGCAACCAGAGGGAGAATCGGCACCACAGCAGCAGTTTAGCTGGGGCATCAGTCAGCAACCAGGGTGCTGGTGCTCCCCATGCTTAGAGCACTCCTTGAATCCTGCCACCATCCTAAGCCCCTCCTGCTCCTGCCCATGTGCCACTGCCAGAACCAGGATTCCAGTTTTCCAGCCCTCAGCTCCCTCGTGCTTTTCTGCTGCCGTGTCTCCCTGATCTTTTGCAGAAAGCAGATGACCACAGCACTGAATGATTGTTCTCCCTTCTCTCTCCCCGATCTCTCCCTCACCTGCCCTGTGAAGAAAGGGGCAGGAGAGGAGCACTGTGGGATTTGATGGAGAATCCATGGGTCCTTTGTTCTGCACCAGAGAGCATGCATATGTAGCAGGAAGTGAAACGCTTTTAAACAGTATATCAATTTCAACTGGTACTTTTGTGGAGCACTTTTGGCTGCTTTTGGAATGCATCAGAGGGCCTGGATGTCTGTATGGCTCACCCGTTGAAGTGTTTCATAAGTTACATCTGTTCACAGTGTGGATTAACTCATCTGCTCAAGTTAAACCACATTAAATGACAAAGATACTTGTTTAGAATTCAGGTCCCTTTTATTAAATGTATTTTATTTCACTTACAAAATAAATTATATTACTGTGAATTAAGTCTGCATTAATTCTTAGCCTCTGTACCTGCCTGGATCAATACAGTTTTACTAACCCACTGTAAATTTACATGTAGTGAATTAACCATAATTTTCCTGAATACAGCTGGGAAGGAAGGCTGAAGTTAACACATGTGCATTACACTGGAAAATCTCAAGTTGTTTGTGCTTCCACCTTCTGCACTTTCTGAAGTTTCCTCAGAGCATCACTTTCTCTCAGCATAACAGCACAAAGCTTTTGTGTTGGCATTTGCCACTAGGCAAAATAGCTTCCTTTCCATGAAGGCTGACAATCTTTTCAGAGTCCAAGAGATTTGTAAATAGTGAGGACTCCTCACACCACAATATACACAAACTTACAATTTTAGAAGTAACTCATATACTTCTGACAGATTTTGTTGCAGATCTTTTGGTGTAAGTGAAGCTTTGGCTCCCCTGGCACCTAGTGGTCAGGCACTGTAATAACTAAGACCTACTGCAAGCAGTCAGTTTAGGAGAGCTGGTCATGCCTGCTCCTTACCATGAGTAATTCTGAGAATAAGTTATTCTGTAGTAGTTTTGTCCTTATGTCCTTTTCTGGAGTTGGGTGCTAACACCATCTGAAACAAAGTTGGTTTCTTTATCCTTAAATGGCACATTACATGCTTTTTGCTTCCCTTAAGTTTTATTTTGAATGTGGTAAAGGAAAGCAAGATAGATATGTGTATATTTCTTTCAGTGGGCTAAAACATTAAATGTAGGCAACTATGATTTTGACATTCTGCCTTCCCCTTCCCCCCTGCCACCTCCCAAACTGCATACATGCATGAATCTGGACCCCTGCCACCTCCCAAACTGCATACATGCATGAATCTGGACAGTTTTCTTAAACAGATGCACTACTTCTGTTATGTTTAGATGGTTTGTGTACATATTAGTCATACTACAGCGGAGGTATTCCCAAAGGAATGTGACTTTCTTACTGCTTCAGACTTCCCATATCATTGGCTATCTGTTGAATGTGAAATTTTTTTGGTACTTGTTTATAGAAACTAGTAATACATGTAAAAGTGCCATCCAAATGCATTTTTTCTGAATATGCATCTTAGCTATATAATGCTAGCTGAGGAACTTCAAATGCAGTGCATTGCTTTTGCTACAATCAAAAATTCTGCTTTGTTTTTGTTTTGTTTTTTTAAGGATGGAAATACTATGGCTTACCTTGTGTCAGTTTCACAATTCTGTGGAAATTGAGGTTAGTATAAAAGTATCGATACTGTCTTATTACAGGCAGTAAAAGGAAAAATACTCTTATATACTACATATGCAGAGTAATGGTATCACATGGTAAAAATATGTAGTGAGACTTCGTGTCAGCAATGCATTCTAGTGCAGGGTTAATACCATCCACATGTAGTATACATAGACTTTCTAGCTGAAAGCTTTACCCAAAATCAAAGTTAAAAATTCCTAACCTTCCTCTGTGGCTGCTGTGCATTTTCATTTAAAGGATACATTGTCATTCAAGTTGCCAAGTGCTTTGGTAGCTATGGATACCTTATTTTCAGATATCAGTGATTAATGTGCAATGTTAAGATTTTTCTTTGGAAGGAAAAAAAATGCAAAATTTCTTCCTGCACATACAGAATCTTTTAATACCTCAGTCAAAACAAAAGAAGTTGCACAATTAAGCATGTGAGAATGGGGAAATATGAAAGTTAAATTTTCATGTGCAGCCTTAACTTTGCATTGTGCATTTTCAGTACAGGTACTGTTTGCATGCTAGCTTTTTTAGAAAGTATTCTTAAAGGGATTCTTAGATTTTTATAGCATTTCATGCTGTGTTTTATTCTTGATTTTTGTTTAAAAAAAAATTCACTGGCATAACTGTGCAAGATAAGATCTTTAACAGTCTAAAGTTTTCTCATGTGTGTTGTTTTAGCTGTATCTCAAGCCAGAAACACCCCTTTCCTCTGGGCAGTTGAGATTAGGCAGTTAACTGGGAGGAAAAAAAAATATTGCTCTATAAGTATGAGCAGTTTAATATTTGTTTTCTGTATAAATTGCATTTAACTTATGATGTATGCTGCAAACAGGGTAGTGACTAGTAGAAGAGTTGAGCAGTAAGGTTGCAGAAACTTAGAAATACTTCAGGAAGATATTGTGCATTTGTAATTTGCTTTTTCAGGGCTTAACTACATTTAACTGCTTCAGCCCAGCTCATCTTCTAGTGTTTTCTGTGCATGTGGAGGAAGGGAGTGTGAGAGAGAGAAAATATGGGGAGACAGACATTCAGAATTCTGCTGAGTTATAAAAAGTGACAATAGAGTCTGATTTGGAATTACTCAACTAGAAACCATTTCATCTCCTTGTCCTACCACACTTTTTCTGCTACCCATAGACGAATGAATTCCCTGCACTGAATATACAAACTATGGAGCAAGGGATAACATTTTGTTATGAAAATACATTAAGGTGCATCTTCTGTATAGCTTCATAAGGGACACCCCTTGATTACTTTTCACAAAGTCTTTTAGTTATATTTCTTGTTATCTAAAGATCTTGCACCACGTTCTTGTGTATAACTGAAGGGCGTGTAACATGCTAGGCACCTCGTACAAAGGATGTTTACAGTTCATCTTTGCACTGCTCGCCTTGTACTGTGGTTAAGGAGTCACTGTTCAGGTGACCCTGAGTTGAAGTGTCCAGAGGGGCAGGAAGGCTTAATGGGCTGATGTAGAAGTTTGGTCATTCTCTCTTCTGCTACACTAGGAGCAGTGGAGAAGGTATTTGTAGTACACGTAGGTAGACCCCATGTCAATAAAAGAATTGAAGCTAATCTGTGTTACTGACAGCAGGAATGGAGCCACACCATTATGGACAGCTGTAGCCTATGATGTGGCTTTAAGTGTGTATTACATCAGGTTTTCTAGATCTTGGTTTTTAAATTGCTGTCTTCCCACACTACTGCTTTAATTTTATTCTGAGCAGGACTGCTACATATATCTTTCACTACAATGTAATAATACAAATGTTTTCAAATGTATATATATTTTGATATAATTTGGTTTTCTCTTTTCAGTTTCTACCTGTGTATGTCCCTTCAGAAGAGGAAAGAAAGAACCCATCTTTGTATGCAAACAACGTCAGGCGGGTAATGGCAGAGTAAGTATGCCTGATTTTTTCACTTTGGAATCAAACAGAAGTTCTGAAGGCTATCAATATTTGCCTCTGTGCAGACAAATGTATAGAATATAACCTACATTTAAAAAACCATTTACTTGACTCTTCTTCCTAGTGTATTTGGTTATTTGAGGCAGCTAATCAACTGCAATGATTGTCAGAGAGGAAGTACTATGAAAACTTATAAGTGCTTTGGATTCCTCTGTACCTCGCATGTTACCATGACTGCTCTTAAGTTATGGTGTTAGGACTTCAGAAAAAATGTTATGTAAAATGATAAGAAAAACTTGGATGTGCCTTGATGTTTAAGCTATATATGAGATTTTTTTTCTGTTTTGAAAACACTGAGTTAAAATGGAAGAACATCTCAGATATCAGTCTGACATGAAATGAAATGAAATTTTAAAACCCCCCCAGCTTCACAGTAAGCTACATCTCCCTGAAAGCATAGTCATAGAAACAGAAATTTCCCTCCGCTCCCTACTTAACATTGTAGAACGGTCATTTGCTCTGCTATAGTTGTTTTATGTCTCCATTCTTATTCCAGGGTAAATGGAGGTGCCCAGAAGTGTGCCTGATAGTTTGTGTCTGGGGGTGGGGGGTCAGAATGGAGGTAGGGAAGCCTGAGCCTCCTGCTGTGCAGAGTAGAGCCAGGGGCAGGATACTGCAAAGAAGTGTCACTGCCAAGAGCTAGGTTAACTCTTTTCCTGGGCCTGTAAACAACACAAGCTTTTTTTTTT